AACCCAACCAGATGGAAGCCCTCGGCAGGAGAGACCAAATGGCCGAGGGTTAGGGGGAAAGGGAAAGAAACCGGCGGACGATGCGGGCGGTATCTAGGAGCACCGCCTTCTGCATTTGAGCTTGGAGCGACCGTCACGGAGACCCAGTCGCCTCAGATGACCCGAGAGGCTGACTGGGCTTAACCCGTTCGCAGAAACAACCACAGTAATAATTTCGGCCGGCAGACCACCCCACATGTCGGTCACCTCGTGAGCCAGGTCCAGATATTTTGTCAACTTAACTGTTTCGGCTTTCACGAGGTTCTCGTCATAAGGAATGGTAATGTCGAAATATTAATATTTTTATTATTATTATTATTATTATTCAGTTGTCATCACATAGATGCTGCTGCCCATCTGCTCGTACAGTTTCCCTCTGTCACCTCTTACGATAGGATCTTTAATACGTTACTTATGTAACATATAATATTTAAAATTTCAATCAGTAAGTTAAAGTGCCAATGGGCCGATCGTATAGCTACGGCAAGGGAAAAAAAGGATCACGAGTGGCAGCCTCGTACCGTTAAAAGAAGTATAGGGCTGTCTCAATGGTAATTAAGTGGAACGTCGATGGATGCAGGTGTCTGAGAACCGTGCTTAGCGGCATTCTTTGCGGAACGCTTGGCAGTGGACTTGTGATAGACTGTTGTGATAGTGACAATGGTAGTGATGTGGAAAACTAAAATAGAGAAAAAACGCAAAAAAAATATGATCAAGAGCGAACTAAGCTTTAATCGCGGATATACTTTACATTTTAGATTACTAAAACACCGCTGGTCTCAGGTTATAATATAAATAAGTGTTAGTTTTTTATTTCTTGATTTATAACACAAAATCATAGAACATGTTGTCCCTGACCACAACAACCCTGACCATCCAGAATGTCAAAAATTCTGCAATGTTCATTTTACATATCACCAACAGAAAACCGAACAATGCGATCGTAAACTTAGACTTACGATCGTCATCTCTTTTTATGGCTGTCCGAATGTATCTGATACCAGTCGCTTTGCGAATATTTGGTGTTAAAAAAACAACCCTAACTTCATTCTCCCATGCGGGTCGCGTGTCGAACGCGTGTCCCACATACAACGCAAATTCACACAATAAAAACTTTAACTGACACTCGAAACACGCCTAAACTGCATGATGAGCCTATGAATATGATTTAAACGTCGCAACATTATTTCGAAGGGGTTTTGATGGGGAAGGTGCGAAATATCAAGGCTCCGAACCGAGAACACAAATTACGAGATTTACATAATTAAGTTGGTACGTTTTTGTAGAGTACACCGGTTGATATTTCCAAACCGGATTCTAATAGTAACTTCATAACATTATCAATTTGAATATATTTTTAGCGAAAAAAAAGTACAATACGATCTAACTTTTAATAATCAATATGAACTTTAATTTTAAGGTGTGTAGCGCTACGTTGCAAAATAATACTGCTTATTTTTTCGTAAATGTTTATTCACGTTTAGGAAACCTATATGTTATGTTATTGGTTAAGGTCGTGCTATAAGAAAATAAAACGAACTGCGTAAGCAGTTCATTTTGATTTTCTTACTTAACGGAATGTTTCGACAAATTTTACGTAGCGGCGCTATTGTCGCGCCACATGCGAAACACACCGAAGCCTAAATCGCGCTATCAAAGTTCTGAACGTATAGCGATATATATAGAATAGCTCCAAACTACCACATCACAACTAGCTCATTCCGCTTGCGCCATCCACCCCGTGCGGTCGTGCGCTGTCGGAGTCCGCCAGCTGACCGAGCAACCCGGTCCCGGTGCGGGAATTCCTCCGTCAGTTCAGTCGAGGAATGTTGTCCCGTCCCGGCCCGCTGCAGCTAGTGCCGCCGCCCCCATACGGTTATGTTTAGCTGTCCACGCTCACCGTGCTCGTACGGTGAGTGCGCCCTCCCATCTCCGCTAGCGTCGCCGCTCCTGTGCGATTGTGTTAAGTGCTTATTACATTATCCAATTATTAGAAAATCTAATTAGGAACCTAAATTGGAAGCTAGTGATCACATTACACTAAATTGAATTCTAAATCGTGACAAAGCACATTCGTAAAAGAAGTATCGACGGGGTTGCACGTTTGATCGATGGCGCCGTATTTATAAAAAAAAAACAGCAGAAAATAGGACTTGCCTTAGCCGTGGTGGGAACAATGGATATTAAAAAAAGATAAAAGAGAATATGCTGGGTTAAGGAATACTTGTCATGGTATTTGTAAATATTTAACAACACCTTGAAGCCCTCTTCACGCATTTTTTTTTAAAATAGTTTTCATAATTTTTATTATACAAATAGGGCATTTCCCTATACAGGTCTATAATTTGTAATAACACCTCTTTTTCTGTGGACATGCTGCCACACGAACCACTGCTCAGTTCTGTCGCTTCACTCGCCATCGCAAAAAAATGTCGCACGCGCAGTCAAGACATCCACTCAGGTCGAAGCGCGGGCGCCGACTGGTCGTTCTAAATCGTAACGTTGCGATTACACTGTCCTAAATTGTAGACAATTTAGAAAGTAGAGCGGTCGGGACCTCCAACTTTACCTAAATCGGATCCTAACTGTTCTAACTATGATTACACTTTCCAATTTCCTAATTAGATTTCCTAAAAATTGAATAATGTAATAAGCGCTTTAGCCGTCTGCGTACGGTGAGTGCCTTCCCTTCCACTTCCCGCCCTAGCGCCACCGCCCCCGTGTGGTGGTGTTAGCAGACCGTGCTCGCCGTCCCCATACGGTGAGTGCATTCTCACTCATGCGACTCCCACATCTTCACTCCTCTAGCACTGCCGCCCCCGTGCGGCTGTGTTAGTTGACCCACGCTCCCGTCCCCGACGCTGTGTCCCCTTCCCTAAGGGGGGGGGGGGGGGGGGGGGGTCGTTTCCGAAGCGGCGAAGAGGCCACTCAGGCCAGTCAGTCCCACTGGTGGTATTTAGTGGTTAGGCACTTCTTAGTGAGTCCCACATAACCACGCAGCCGGCTGCGTGGTATGCTATGAGCATTCACCACCTCCCTCCCCCGCTTCCGGAGGGTAGCCTTGCATTAGGTGCAAAAAAACCACATAGAGCATTGGTTACCCCCCGGGCTGAACACCTTGCCCGGTGGGAAATCTCCCTTTTTAAGCCACGACCTAAGCGGTGGATCCAACGTGATGTGATTTTGAACACGCGCAATGTACCACCTTCGGAAACCTCAAGCATCCAGATGGTGAGGATGGTATCGTTACCGTTAACCATTTTCTTTTTGATTTTCTTACAGTGCAAAAATTGAACTTCATCGTTGACATGTCTTGAACTAGCGAAGTATGTAATAAAGTTCAAGCGAGCGTCGCCACAGTATCGATGGATGCTTCGGTTTCTGACGGTTCCGAACGATCAACGCTATGCGTTCACTCGACCCGATAACGAATACGTTAACCTTTGGCAAGGGGTGGCTGCCGACCGTTAAAAGAGCGCAACCGTTTCCTTAATGTATCCATCCCCTGTGAATTATTCAACAATTTAATTTGCGACGTAAACAAATGAAAAACTTGTCGCTTAAAGCGTGAAATAGACATTATATTAATTTAAATGAAACTATAGCTATGTTAAAGATACAAATAATAAAGTTGCATTATATTTATGTAAGATGGTAATCAATAAAATTAAAATGGAGTGATGGTTACTAATAAAGCTTAAAAAATTATTCGCGTTCATATGTATCATCTTGTGAAATGTACTTATTACTACATGTAAAATACTCAAATCTTCGTTGTATTGTGTCTGCCTGCGCATAGCGTCGAAGGCACAAGACATTTGAACCGACTTCTAATAAGTGAAGATTTTCAATTCGACTGTATGTCAGTTCTTTGTATGTATCGTCATCATCATTATCACCATTACAGCCCTTCACAAGTCCACTGCCGAACTATGCCTTCCCCAAGGAATTTTGTATGTGAGTGACGTGGTAATTTCGACATTTGTGAACCGATTGTAACGATTCATTTTTAAGTAGATCACGATCTCATATTAAAAAACATACACCTCTTAGGCAGGAAAAATAGGGAATGAAGTTTTTAATGTAACTATTTAAATGATATTTTGGTTGTTGCCTTCAGCACGTGATATAGTTGTTATGTTACTTAATTCAGTCGAAAGAGTCAAACATTGACAGTCGTTGGGCACTGACGACAAAAGTGAAAACCTAAAACTACTAAATAATATCCAAAAACCGCCCGATGCGCCTAAAGAAGTTATCACTTCAATTAAGCTTTTAATTAAAAGTTAAAGCCCTCTTCAAAAAACTAAAATGAATAATTTCCACGCAATAGCCTATGAAGCCAAGAAAAATAGGATTACATATTGGGTTGGATATTATAACTATACGTGGAGATTCCATTCAATAACAATAAGATAAAAAGCAGCAGGAAAGGGTTAAAAAGGTTCAAAAAGTAAGTTATGTAAAATTCAACAAACATTATTGTATAGTCAATGACTTTTTAAAACTGCGAATGCCACCCGCGAATAGATCTAAGTCTTTTGGCCTTGTTTCTGTACTCTCTCAAAGAAGGAGCATTTTGACCAGGATTTGATTTACTAGATTGATTCACGAGGATGGTATATCTCTATGGCTGAGGTAGTTTCAGTGGCACTGAGAAAGATTTTTTAAGTTATTCTTCTTTTGGGGCTTTTGGGAAAAAATATGAGAGTGAATTTTTACAATGCGCACGCACACTGACACCTAAAAACGACAGCATGAAGTTGTTACAATGTGCGCGCACACTGTCACCTAAAAGCGACAACTTCAGTGGGTAATTGTTTCTCAAGTTTTTTTGGTTTTGTTACGCTAAAGAAGTTTAACTTCCTACGTGCGTACGTAAGTACACACACATTTTCTTTACCAAAATGAAGAGTTATGTGGAAATATTTTTATTAGTTCTTCGGAGTCGGCTTCTTTTTTTATAAGTTTAATTTTTGCAATGGCGGTAGGCGATCCAGCTGCCAAGCAAGGTGATTGCGGCAAATCTTTTCCATAATGTAAGAAGCCCATGCCCGGTATTGGATTTTAACGGAGCAATGATGAAGAAGAAAGAAGAATAAAGAATAATGGAAGTTTCAGTCTGTTATACTAAGAATTAGATAGAAATATTATATTGTTTTACCAAAACTATACAAATTAATAATTAAGCCATTTGGATCTCACGTTGAGTTCCCAGGATATCAATCTTCCTGTTTTGATTTCTCCGTTGATGGCAGATTGTTAATATTTTAGATTTTGAAATGAAAATCAATTTAAAATGTCCTTTATTTCAACGAATTACATTTTATATTGCAAAAGCAATTTAACCGAGTGATTAAAAATCCGTTGAGTGTTCGTACGAGGGACAGACGAGGAAGCCCGCATATTTTGCCCCACGCAGATTACAATATTTTAGGGCGACTCGCCCCTAATAGTTTAAGGTTCATATATCTAGCACATGACAAATTTTGTTAACGATCTTTTATGGCCCTATCATTTGAAGTACTTCAAGCATGAATTAGTAATTCTCTTTGACAACTTTCTTACCAAAGGATTATCTTCTTGGTAGCTAAAATATTAGCCGCGCTGTCAATACTACTGTTGCTTCCGTTAACTACATCAACAAAGCTTCACATTCTTGTGTCAGATTTAGTTCATGATCACGGCAATAGTAGAATGTCAGATTCAAATCCACGCCTTTTTAGTTTAGTCTTTACGCTTAACCATAAAGCTATTGTCACATTTATTATGTTTAATATTACTTCTTGACTACTACGTTGGGTTAGCAACTACTGTGCAATCATAAAGAATAAAAATTGTAATACTAACATATCAAAACAAACGTAAATAATTAAAATAGTAATTAGTAACCTATAAGCGTTTTACTGTATGCAGCGTGGCACTATTTATGTCTGGGAGAATCCGCCGTCAGTTTCACACGTCTTCTATTGTTTTGTTATATGTTTTATTTTTTTCTTAATCTTGACTTAGTAAATCTTCAGATCAATCTGATTCTTACTTTCTGTTTCCAACTTTTTTTTTAAATTTACTTTGGAATCAAACAATCATAGCAATGAAAAAAGTACACACAAATTTCGTTTTTAAAATGAGACATACAGCGCTAACAAATGAAACGAAAATGAAAAGAAAGTTACATCATTGTCACACTATTTACATAGAAAATAGATACAGAAATACTAACACAAGGAAAAAATACAGAATATTTACTAATGCAATCATAGTTAGGGTTTGCGATTGAGTAATTAGGTACTTGTTAATTTTTTACACCAATTGTTTAATTAATCTTTGTGCTCGGTGTATAGCTTATCATTTCAAGTATAGATTGACTTCTGCAGCCATCTTGATGGTACTTCAGTAACGGCTTGAGATATCTGCCTTCAACAATTATTAAAACGACCCTATCAAGTATTAGATTTAAATGCCTTGGTATGCCGCCTTATGATCGTGATCTTAATATGAAAGAAAAACGGACTTTATTTTGGCATATAACATTGACGTATAACACCAAAATATACAAATATATAAAAAATTGTAAATGTTTAAAATGAAAAAAGTAATTCATGCCAAAAAAGGTCATCACTCAGCATAAGTTGCGGTAAATACTGCCGGTAAATCTCATTCTCGGTCATTGTCCATCAGTATAGCCCTGAATGAAGATATCCGCAGTAGAACCAGAGTAACCGACATAGCCCAACGCATTAGTAAGCTGAAGTGGCAGTAGGCCGGCCATATAGCTCGAAGAACCGACAACCGATGGGGAAGAAAGGTTCTCGAGTGGCAGCCTCGTACCAGTAGGCGAAGTGTAGGGCGTCCCCCCACGAGATGGAGTGACGACCTGGTAAGACATGCAGGAAGTCGATGGATGCAGGTGGCTCAGGACCGTGCTTTGTGGCATTCTTTGGGGGAGGCCTATGTTCAGCAGTGGACTTGTGAAGGGCTGTAATGATGATGATGATGATAGCCCTGAAGTTTGAGTATTTTCCGCTGGGGCCCAAAAGAGAATTTCTGAAATTTATACTTTTTTTTATTCTACAATAATTTAAGGGACATTTACCGCTTAGCGTATGTCAGTTCCATCATACCCTAACATACATCACTTACTCATATAACGTTAGTTAATACTCATTATACTATGGTTTCGAACAGAACTTTCGCATCGTCGCCATTTGCTTGGGATAAAATATTTTGCAATGTGCCTACGTCCGTTCTGTTCAAATTCAAGACCCTTATTAACAGACTCAAATCGAACACATTCCATCAATATATGGTGTAGGTCTTCTATAACTCCAGTCTTCACAATTGGCCAAAGTTGTTTTTCTAGCATTCTAAGTCTAGGTTAGAACTACAAGCATGCATGCGCAGTTATATGGACGTGAAGGAGGCGAGGTAGGTTTGTCAGGATCGTGTTCAAATGGAAGCCCGTAGTCTCTGCCTACCCCTCTGGGTAATAAGCGTGAATATTTATGGATTATGGAAGTCAGTACTAGCCTTAGTTAAGTTTTGTACAAGTACACTCATTCATTCCTTTCTTCGTCAGCCTGTAAAACTCCATTGCTAGACATAAGTATCTGTCATTATAAAGAGGATGTACCATAATCCCAACGTTTCGCGGGCTTGGATTGGAGATCGCAGTAACAAATGTCTCGCAATGTTCTCATAACCGGCAGGGTGTCATACGTCTGGCGTAAACGGCGTTGACGGCTCCGTGGCGCAGTGGCTTAGCAATCAGTTGTTGCGCTGGGGGCTGCGGGTTCGAATCTCGCACGGAACAAATATTTGTATGGCCTACAAATAATTGTTCCGGGTCTGGATGTTTGTCCTTGTGCAATTTATGTTTGTAAACTGCCTCCACGACACAGGAGAAAATCCTAGTGTGGGGGTAACGTTTAAATAACGTTTTTTAAAATAAAAAAAAAATAAAAAAAATGTTCTCATAACCGGCAGGGTGTCACACGTCTGGCGTAAACGAGGTGATGAGGGATGATCATGCTATCTATCGAAAGTAATGCAATATTTTGGAATTTCGCATAGTTGACTGTTAGGACTCGCACGGAAAGTAATAGCGTGATAGTCTCTTAATTCGTGGCAAAGTTATTCGAATTGCAAATGAATAATTTAAAAATGACAAAAATTGTACAACCGACTTCAATATAAATTATTAAGAATTACTCAAAAACACACACACACCTTGATCAAATTTATATGGGACCGCATGAGAAGCACCAGCTTTCAAATAAAAAAGAATCATCGAAATCAGAAAAAAGTTATGAGGTAACACACATAAAAAAAACATACAGTCGAATTAAGTACCTCCTCCTTTTTGAAGTCGGTAGAAAGGCGAATAAGTTTATTGATCAAATTGACATAATATTAAAGATGGGTCAAGTGAAGAGTACCCTTAACCAAGCATATATATTTCGATGTAAAAGAAGTGAGAGGTGCGTCACGATCGTGCTAAATGGAAATCAAATCAAAAAAGTTAAGTAAATGATTAATATATAAGCAATTATTACCAATAACACCTTCGTCACAGATAAAATTAATTTAATTTGTTTAGAGAAAAAACAAATTTTATTGCTGCAGAATAAAACTAAAAGTATGTACTGGAAATACCTATCTTCACCCACATATCCCAAGTTTCAAGTTTCTAATAGAGCGCAGACGTAAAATCCAATTATAAAAAATAAATGCTTTAATGACTAAAAACTGCTAATTTATTAATCCAAACATGGAAAATTCCTTACGATATTTTCCGTCTGAGCTGAACCGCGGTAAACCAGTGGTGGAATCATAGGGGATCGAACTTAGGTTGCTCGTTAACTATGAAATCTACATTAAAATAAATCTTAAACGAGTGCTAAAATAAGCTTGAAATATAATTTTAATGATAGATTATTTTTACATAGGTGATCGAACTTAGGTGGATTGTTAGAAAAATAAAGTACTCGTAAATCTAAAACTAAAGCTAAAATTTTATTGATATATTTTGATAGATAATTTTTTATACAGAAGTGGGGTTTAGGGAAAGACTTTGGAGATCACAAGCCGTATCGGAAGGTAAAACACTACTTTAGTGTAAGTTTTTTGTAAAATTGGTTAAAGAATATATAAGCAAAAGCAATTAAGAATCGATATCCAAAATAAAAATGGGATGTCACTCCCGAGGGCCTAGGTGGATAGAATGCCTCTTTCCAGTAAAAAGAGTTCTCATTTCCCTACACTCACCATACGAAACACAGCAGCATTAAAGCTGCTACGAGCTCGTATTTTACATTGGTATTCTGTGAGAGCGTGCCCCTCCCACGGACGAGCCGACCCATTTGTGGTACGATATGGCTGCAGCTTGGCTTTAACACTTTCATTAGCATTTTCAATTATTAGTCAAGGATACACGTAGGTGTTTGAGCCATATCCAACTTAACTGAACTGTGTGCTCAGCCACTTGTAAAAGATTAAACTATTATTATTACTTTAAATAAAAATTAATTTAAAATTAATTAAATTTGAATAAAAAAATATTGAGACACAATAAATATTTTTTGTCTTGTTTGAAAAATTACATGACAAATTGGCCACTTTGTCATTGCTGCAGTGGCTCAAAACTTTTCAATCCGGCCCTGACTGGTTTTATATTAAACAATATTTTTTAATATTATCTTAGTATTGTTTCCAGAAAAAAAAAGAGCAAATACACATACATTTTAATTATTATCTACAGAATTAATTGCCTAATTTATTTTATATATTTCACGCTTTGGTTTCTTGTCGTTATAAGTTTATAAAACGACTACGAGTATTATGTTGGGTAATTATAAACGGGCAATTGTTTCAGTATTTATAACGCGTTCATCGCTTATCTTTAGATCGAAATGGTAATTGTAAGCGAGGGACTGGCAACCGTCACCGAGCAAAAACGTGGCTGTGTCGATGTAGGGAAGCATGGGTAGGTTAGTAGTACGCTCAGATACTTTAGGATAGTCCCATATATATATGAGACATAAAGTATCTCATATATTCGTATGAGATATAAACTTAATGACTTACGGAACCGAAAACTAGTTTTTACTGTCAAATACATTGTGAAACTAAGAGAAACAAATAAAAAATATCTAGAAATAAATTATAATATTTCGACGGCTCTTTGGGCCAGTGGATTTGGAATGAGTTACAGCGCTGAGGACAGCGGGTTCAAATTTCGCACGGAAAAAGTATTTGTATGGCCTACATGTAAATGTTCCAGGTCTGGATATTTATCTTTATGCAATTTATGTAAACTGCTTTTTTTTTATAGGATAGGGTGACAAACGAGCACACAGTCCACCTTATGGTAAGTGGTTGCTGTGACCATGACCCATAGACATCTACATTTATCCTCGTTTACGAATCAAAATGCAGATGGGTTGACACCCGTGAGGACTAAGATGGAATGCCTCTTTTCCAGTAAAAAGGGTCTCCGGTTATCTACACTCACCATACGAAACACAGCAGTGTTAAGCTGCCATTTTACGCTGGTATTCTGTGAGAGCGTGGTCCTTCCCCGGTCAAGCCGACCCCTTCGTGTAACAATTATACTACTAATATAGCTGCAGCATGGCTCTACCACGTCAAAATACTTCCACGATATAAGCGAAAATCGTAGTGTGGGGGTAACGTTTTTAAAAGAAATTGCGTGCAATGTAAAGGGCATGTTTGAAATTTCTATGAAGAATTAAATTTAACAAGGGATTCGAGATCCACGGGGCTATATCCAGCCGATCAGACAGTGGCAATGGGCCAGCTATAGAGGTCGAAAATGTGACGAACCGACAGGAAACAAAGGTTTTCGAGTGGCAGCCCCGAACTGGTAAGCGCAGTGTTGGGTGACCTCTCACTAGATGGAGCAACAACCTGAGGGAACACGCAGATAGCCGTCAGGAATTCAGCATAACTCTTCTAATGTTCTGAAACGTAGAACGAGAAACAGCAGAAATTCTATCCATAATTTTTCCCACGAAAAGAAAGATAGCAGTAGTAAAAGTAATGAGCAAAGAAATTAAATAAGTAGCTTATAACTTAGTATTCTCTTAGATCTCTACTTACAATATTAATTTGACATCTTAATGAATTTCATATTGACGAGTGCATATCCTTAAATTTGCGTTACGCCTCGTGGACACCTTATACTCTATGAAAATGAACTACCCGCATAAAAGTAATACTGGTGCGCCAATCTAGTTAAACTTCCCCTGCAAGCGGGCTGTTTAATTGAAGGGTGCTGTAAAAAGGTAAGCCATCCGTTAGTTTATCTATTTTTAGTTATTTAATGCTGTATGCTAATAAGTATGCTGCTTACGCCTATATTAGTTATTGATATAGGTAACTAGGTTATAATATATAAGTAACGCCATTTTAGAACTATTTTGCATTAATTCATTTATTTATCAAATCAGCCTATCAAAGTCCACTGCTGATTGCCTTATATGAGGGATATTTGCCAAAGTTGCCACGCTTGGCAGGTGGATCGGCAAACGCAGTTGTTTATTAATTTGTAGTTGTTATCATGAATATGCCGCTGCTCTCACACTTACCCATATTCTCTAACGCCGCCCCCAGACGGTCAGCAATTGTTATTAATAAATTAAAATATGATCTATTGCGTAATCTTCTATATTAATAAAATGAAAGAGGTTGGCAGTTGTGCGCGCATCACGGAAAAACTACTGGAAAGGTTTCAATTAGGTTATCTAAGTTTTATTTCAGACATTTGGCCCTTATCTAAAATAATATTGTAATATCTTCATTTAATATAAAGTTATTAAAGTTTGAAGTAACAACGATTTTTATAAGCACTACGTGTTCAGTGATATGTGGTTTCTTGATATATCAAGCAACGCGGATGAAGTCGCGGGTATCAGCTAGTAACAACATATTAAGATTTTGTGTCAAAGCTAATTCAAAGCACATTCATTTCAAGTTAATAATCCTCTATAACTTCACATGTCTCAGTATTTCAAAGAAAAACAATGTTTCCTCCTCGGAGAACACTAGCTTACCATACAGTATGCCGGAACAAACTTGTGTCTGAAGTCGAGTCTTTGCTGAACAAAGTCTCGGATTGGGGCGACTAAATCTAGTCCAGTTTAAGCCTCAGAAGACACAAGTTTGCGCGTTTACCGCTAAAAAGAACCCCTTTGTAGTATCTCCTCAGTTTCAAACTCTCCACTTCTTGCCTCAGCCAGTATCGGAATCCTCGGAGTCGACATATCGAGTGACGTGCAGTTTCGTGGTCACTTGGAAGAGAAGGCCAAATTGGCCTCTAAAAAGCTTGGCATGCTCAGCAGAGCGGGACAGTATTTCATGCCGGTACACCGCCTGCAACTTTACAAGGCGCAGGTTCGGCCTCACATGGAATACTGTACCCATCTCTGGGCAAGGGCTCCCCAGTGCCAGCTCCTTCCACTTGACCGCATCCAGCGCAGAGCGGCTCAAATCATCGACGACCGAGTCCTTTCCTATCGGCTCAATTCATTGGCACTGCGAAGAGATGTTGCATCCCTTTGCATTTTCTTTCGCATTTACCACGGGGAGTGCTCTGAGGAATTGTTCGGATTAATCCCAGCCGCCAAATTTCACGAACGCACATCGCGGCAGAACTCCCGATACCATCCACACCACCTTGATGATTGGCGGTCCACTACTGTGCGATTTAGAAGATGTTTTCATCCTCGTACAACTTCCTTGTGGAATCGATTACCATCAGCGATTTTTCCGGACCGATACGACTTAGGCACCTTCAAGAAAAGAGCCTACTCCTTTTTAAACGGCCGGCAACGCATCTGCAATTCCCCTGGTTTCCCTGGTGTTGCGGTTGTTCATGGGCGGTGGTAGTCACTTACCATCAGGTGAGCCGCATGCTTTGCCCTCTCTCCTATAAAAAAAATACATACCGCTTTTCTTTTGTATTGCACGTTTGAACTTTGGTGGTTTAATGTACTTGTCTTCGTCTGGCTGATGGTTAACGTCTTCGAAAATGCAAATCGCTAAAACCGAGTTTAGCCAAACATCAATTTAATTTTTCCAAGCTTCTCACTGTATGTGGAACAAATCGCAGTAGTTGAATTTTGCTAAAAATATTATCATAGACAATTAGACATTAAAAAAAGAAAACAATCATCGATAAATACTCGTATTTATACTTGTGCTTAGTTCTGTTTTCCTAATAAGTGAATAAAGATTAAAATCACCTTAAAAATTATAAATATTCAAATCATGATACATTATTTATCACTGGTGACAGACGTAGGTGTAAAGAACAAATAGCTAGAAAGTTTAAGATAAATCATATAGGGGCATTACAATTAATTTTCTTTGAATTGCTTTGCTTATCCGGTTTGAAGGACCTAAAAGGAATTATGAAAGTTTGAGGTAATATTACTATAGGACACTTTCTCTATGTATTTTAATATTTATGACGTGACTCTCGCAAAAATACTCTCGCAAAAATATATTACAAAGGTAAAAATTGTAAAGGTTCTTAGGCTATAAGATGTTTTTAAAGAATCTTTGAGGGTAGCCTCATAAAAACAATAATTGTGAAAAGATGCGCAATTTAATACCAGACATTTAGGAACGACAAATGAGTAACAGCGACCAATTATAAACAGGCAATGTTTATAGTGGGAGTAATTGCTTTTTGTATTTGTAACCTACAAAGTGCAATAAGCAACTGAAGTATTCCAAATTTAGTTAATTTGCGTGAGCCTAAACTGCGAGTCACGTTCAAAAACAAAAGACGAACGGCAACCGACCACCGCGGAGCGTTCTCGGAACACACTCGACTGTATTTAACCCGTCCCTTTGAGCAAAAATAATCTACCAGTGCTTTTACGAACGCAGTTCCTAGCGTAAACATGGTTCGGTTTTTACTTTTTGTAACATCTCAGTCTATATACGTTGCCTTGCCAACCACGTACCTTCTACCATAATTAAAGGGCTTGAGACAGCTCGCACTGATTTTACGGACTTCACATGGTAAATTATAGTGAAATTGTAGGTTTCTCTGTGCTGTATTTTTTTACAATAAAGCTCGTTATCTATCCACTTTCATAGATTATAAAAGAGATTTAGAAAAAATAAAGTACAGTTATACAACGTATAGGAGCCATTGGTAACGTCCTACTCCTGGGCACAGGCCTCCTCTCACTTATGAGAGAATTTTAGGCTAAGAAAGTGTTTACTGCGCTTTTCCAATGCTTGTTGACCGTCTTCACGTGTCTTCGATTTTTTTTTAATTACTTATGACGTTTTCCTTCACCGCCGAGCACGTAGTAAGTCAGCACATCAAATTAACAATTTCACTGGTGCGGGTGGGATCGAACTCTGACGTAATAGCTTAGGGCACAGAATAAATAATAGCTTCGGGGCTAAGAGCTGTGGCAGATCGGGGGAAAGAGCTTGTTTTAAATTTACACTCACAATACCCCCGCAGGAACTAATGATTTAAATAAAAAAGACAACAATAATTGAAACTATTTTTAAGGTAAATATACATATTAAAAAGAATTAATAAAATCGGTACACAATTGGCGAAGATACCGCGTAATATACAGTCGAATTGAATACGTCTTATTGAGAAGTTGGCTAAAAGGGCAAATGTAAAAATGTAAACTAAATTATAAGCTTGAAATAAATGTTTTTTTTTTATAGGATAGGGTGACAAACGAGCACATAGTCCACCTGATGGTAAGTGGTTGCTGTGGCCCATGGACATCTACATCTATCCTCGTTGGCGAATCAAAATGCAGATGCGTTGTTACCCTTGAGGACTAAGATGGAATGTCTCCTTTCCAGTAAAATGGGTCTCCGGTTCTCTACTCTCATCATACGAAACACAGCAGTATTAAGCTGTAATTTTACGCTGGTATTCTGTGAGAGCGTGGCCCTTCCCCAGTCGAGCCGACTG